ACCGCAGTATTATACAGTCATATGATGTATTCGGTATGAAATAGCCGAAAGATGACGTTCGGAGACTTTTGGCGGGGTCTGTAGATCTGAAATAGAAGAAATTTTTGCCTCTCAAGGAGTTCATACGAAATAATACAACTTGATGTGTTAATAAATCCGAGGCACAACAGGATTAATATATTTACTTATTTCTTTAAAATGATGGTAAGTAACTTAACCATTATAATTTGACTCATGAGAGTTTGATTAAGATTAGTTTCGGGTTTAGGTTGGAAATGAATTATTAATAATTTTATGTTTTAATTTTTATAAATAAAGTTAATATGGCAGATGATTAAAATTAACTTCATGATAAAGTTCATTTGTTTAAACCAATTATAAAATATTAATCAAATACAAGATATTTTTCTGTTTGCTTCAAATTCCTACGTAATATACGTTTCAAGCATAGCATATAAACACAAAGTATACCAAAATAAAACTTCATCAAAATCTCAAATGGTTAATTTTGTTGCGAAATTAACGAAAGAAAATTTCATTGGATGGTGAATTAGAGGTTTTATTTTCACAAACCGATTTTAACACTTTTTATTTGAGACCCGGATTTAACCGAATTTAAAAAAAAAACCGATTAAACCGAGCATTCGGTTGTAATAAACCCGAAAATCGAATTGCGATAAGTTTATAATGCATTATAATGTTATAATGTTAACAAATTTTTTTTTCTTTAATTTTTATTAATTTTTATTAAAGGAATAAAATTAAGTTAATTAATTACATGTTTAAAATGATAGAAACAATTTAAAAATAAAACACGGTTCACAAAATTCCGGAGATAATTGAGTACATCTTGCTGAAATATATATATTACTTGCGTCTGAAAAACAATGTTTCGCTAGATACAGAAGTTCCAGGAATAGATAGATGTTTTTTATATAAAGTTGAGATAAAGTATAAAAGCTTGCTATTGTTTATATCTCATCGTTCTGTACTGTCTGACGAATCGTATCGTACCGGTTTTCCATATACTCAAATTATTTTAGTATTATAATACAAGTTTAAAAAAAAAAAATTTTTAAAAAGAATCCCCTGACAAATTTTTTCGAAGAACATAGTGTAATAAACGATATTTGAAAAATGAAGTATGATAGTAATAGATTAGATTTAAAAATTCTATGCGTGGTATGCTGTAAATTAATTAATCAGGTTCCTAAATTGGATGTCCGATTTGTCAGTTTTGGTTTTGATTGCGCACGTTTTCAATCAATAGCTTTGGTCAAAATATAGACACAAGCAAATTTTTACAGTAAGGTTTGTGAGATACTTAATTAATGGTTGATTACAATGTTTACATGCAAAAAATTTTTCCACGTGAAATATGTGATAACTATCACTATAAGAGACAGTCGGCAAGTCGAGTGATTGGAAAAAATAAATAACGCGAGAAATATACAGTATATATGTAAATATGATTAAAAGTTATTCAGCACTTACCGAGTATATTTTGGATTTTGTTGTCCTGTAATTTTTTTAAATTTTGTTTACCGATTAGTGCGTTGTATTTTATTATATTCACTCTTACATTATTTACAATTGGGGTATAAAGGTTCTGTTTTGACTTTTATCAAAATGTGTAATTTTATTTTAAGACACTTTTTTCCAACAAAGATTTAACCGGTTAACAGAACTTGGCAAAATTTTTAATGCTAGGTTTAAGGACCATTCCAGTTTAAAAAGAGATAAAAGGCCAGTCTTTTTGGACCAGACTTGGACGACCCACTTGTGATGATTCTTTTAAAAAACTTTTTTTTTATAAATTAAAAAATATACATTTCTTAAAGATTAAAAAAAGATTAAATATTTTGTTTATAAATAAAAGAATTTAAATTTGCATTGTAACAGGAGGACAAATTATTTGATGTCTGAGCATCTGAGGCACAACATTATTTAGATCGTTTTGTTACGAAATATAGTATCCTTCATGTACATGCTTTTGCTTCTATCCGACGTTACAAGGTTCTTATAGAAGTTTAGATAAATTTTATAAAGATATCCGAGATTTTATTGCAAGTGTCATATCAATAGCAAATTTTAATGCTGTTGTGAAATAACTTTCCAATAGTTGATCTGAATCTGCACGTATGTGAAATAACGATTATTATAGAAACAAAGAACTGACTGCAATTCACTTATTAGTTATCAATACTTGGAACCTAGATATATTATTGTAGTAGATTTAAAAGGATAAGTGTTTTAAAGATGCAAAAACTGACTCCTGATCAACATAGTATTTTAACATTAGATACTTGTAAGTTGCTTTTAACGGATTATCAAATTTTCATGTTTCAAATAAATTTTTGTACCGGTTGCTTTAGCAATACTTTTAAGGTCAAGTAGAAAATGAACTTAATTTATTTATTTTTTATTTTATTTTTTTTTTTTATTAAAAAAAAAAAGTAAGAAACGTATGGTAACGACACATGGTATCAATGTCGTAAACTTATAATAATACCAAGCTTGATCTTGAGTTCTCAACGCTACAATTTCATCATTTAACTTCATTACTTATCAGCAATATTGGATAAGGTAAATCACCATGATGAATATATATTATTTCCAAGTAAGTTTTTTTTGATTCTGACCAATTTATAAACACTTATAGTTACCTACAGCGAGGTAAACGACATCACCAGATATATACAATGTAGTCATAATATTTTATAATACATATTTTTTTTACTAATATGTCAATTATTTGAAAAGGTGGCAACACTCGCACCACTCGAGAAGTTAAATTTGATCTTATTCTTTTTAATAACTTTTTATTTAAATGAAATTGATGGTCATTCATTTTTTTTTTTAAAAAAAAAAGTTATAATGAAAATTGATATTTGACTTCCAATAGCGTTAAACTACCCGATTTTTTTTTTTTTTAAAAAAAAAAGCAATTATAATTTGTAAAACTAAATTACTCTTTGTATAACCTTTTCTTGGATTCTATTAAAAATAACATTGGCAGAATCCTCCCATGTAAGATCCAACATAATATTGTGAGCAGCACCTCCAATTATATCAAATTCGACACCATAAGCCTCAGCAGTTTCTTTTATCACTTTCAAATCAAATAATGAATCTTCTTCGGCACCAATCACAATTATAGGACATTTAATTTTCGTAGGGTCAACAAAAGGCTTATGAATTTGAAACAATGCAGTGATAGGACTAACCTTATCAAGCTTTGGATGAATATCTTTAGCCATAGAATCAGGAAATGCTTTAGAAAAGGTGGCTCTCTTCATTAATTCAGGAGTTTCAATTGTTGCATACGGATTTAATGTGATTAATGATTTAAGGACAGCTAGAATTGGCATCTTTGAAAATAATTTACGAATGTATTTGACGATTCCTCTTTTGTAGTTGTACGGTGATGTTGCTGCAAATAAAACGCCAGCAGCCACTTTCTGATGATTATTTTGAAGATAATATTGAAGAATTCCACCTCCAAATGAATGACTAGTAAGTAGTAAAGTGAAAAATAAATCAAACATCAGGTTTAAAATATAATTGATATATTTAATAAATGATAATTGATAATCACCCAACGAGAATGGGTTTATCTCCGGTCCTAGCAATTATTGTATCAGTTACGGCTGATACATCAATTGTAATATCATTTAATTTCCACCATTTATCTTTTTTTGGTGTTTTGGTACTTTGTCCATATCCTCGAAAGCTAAGGTTAAAAAAAAAAAAAAAATTACATTTTAGTAAATTTAAGATACCAAACAACACTTTGTTTCGTTACCTCATAGCGTAACAATCATGTCCTTGATTCGAGAACCAGCGACAAAAATTATCCCAAGCCCAAGCCGAATTAGTTAATCCATGTATGAATAGAATTGGTGGATAATTCTATAATAAGATTAATCATTGCAATCTTTTTGTATTAGAAATTAAAACTTTTTAAACGCTTACCGAAATTATCCTAATGGGAGGATAATGTAAGACTTCAATTCTAATACTTTCACAGGAAAAAACGAAAAAGGTATCTTTATCTGTATAATTTTGTCTTGATGTCATTTAAAAAACGAATGTAAATGTTGATAGAATTTGTTTTATCCGAAGCAGAAATAATCTTAATTTTATGGCTTTTTAGATCGACACCTTAGAAAAAGAAGTCATTTACTATATTTGGATGATTTACATTACCATAAACGAAATTTCCCGCTTTTTTTTTTAAACCAGTTATTAACAAGTTGTTGAGCAAGTTTTCGTTCGATACTGAAATAGTTAATGTTTTTCATATACGGAAATTTTTTTTTAAAGGTTCAGATTTAAAACATATTGTTGAATAAGATATGCCTTTTTCTAGTATTTAATTTAATCATCTAGCGCTTAAAGATTAAAGAGAAAACTTACAAAGGCATTAATTAAAATATCTAAACTTTCAAATATACGAGTTGAGTCACATAAGTTAATACTTGCACACCAGGATAAGTCAACGATGACAAAATTCACATAACGAGACTAATTAAACTAGTCAATCAATCCATAACTTCAGTATTGTCTGTCAATCGATAATATTTCTTCACCAATCAACTTCATGTAAAGACAGACCTAGACGCGCAGTCAATTCCGCAATTGCGATAAATCACGAAATGGATTATTAAAAAGATATAATTACTAATTCGGAAATTTAATAAATTTAGAAATCACGAACTTTCAAAACTTTAAAATTACATTAACCAAATAAAATAATATACATCAAAATGTATCTATCTTTTACTAACTTGGAATACCTCATAATCATCAACTTTAAAAGATTTTGGTATATCAATTTGAGAATAAGTATGTGGATAAGCACAACCAGAAATATTATTACAATAAATATCATGACCTTCACCAAACGTTGGACCGTGAGATGGTCCACAACGTATAGCGAAACCTTGATCATCCGTAATGTATCCTACTTTTGCAGCTTGAAGGTTTGTTCTATTTACGAATGAGAATATAAAACTATCCTCAGTTGATTTATAACAATTTCCTTTCCAATCAATTGGGTTATATCCTCCTATGATTTGTTCCGTTCCGTTAAGTTTTATTACGACTATATTGGCCCCTTTGTAATCAAATTTTTGATGAAATGCTGCAGGAGTATAACCATCCCTACTGGCACGATAAAGTAAATTATAATCATAAGTTTTCTTATTGGCATTGTTTTCTTTCTTATCGATTCAACCGGAAAATATAGCAAAATACTGAGAATTAACTAGGATTGAATCACATTTTGACTGTCTAGGTGCTTGTTTAACAATATTTAATTTCTTGTCTGGTGCCAAAGAATATGCTAAAAGGTTAACCACCAAATCCTTCGATAGTAAGTCTTTATAAGGAAGCACTTTTTCAAGAAAATCTTCTGAAGATATATGATGAAATCTAATTAAAGGGATAAATCTATGAAGAGTTCTTTCCATAACTGTAATTTCTTCGTTACTACATTTTTTGACGTCTTTAAGAAAAGATGGATTCTGAGAAAAACCCCAATTAATCAAACTATCCCAAATCTCAATTTCATTTAAACGCAAATCATCCCGTTTTAAAATGAATTCTAATAAAGGTGCTTTTAAACTGAAAAATATATCAGAATTAAAAAGCTCTTGTGGTTCTTCACAAATTTTTTCCAGATAAAAATCCCGTAATTTGGTAAAAGACTCGTGTTGATAAATTGTTTCAAGAATTCCTATAGAATCTTTTTGTAAAAACTCATGATGGTCTTTGATTAAATAATCTTCAACTCTGAGAACTAAAGATTGGAGATTTAGTGCACCTGCTGCGTTTAAGAGCTTTAATAATTCAGTTTCTTCTAATTTTGTCATGTCGACCTTTCCGCAATAAATAAATCTGAAGTTCAAAGTGATATTAGTATCTTAGTTAATACTTATATGTATACTATTTACTTATTACCTTAAGATAATTTTAAAAAGATGTGGAGGAATGTTGGGCATTTTTAAAATAAATTTCCCTTCCTTCCTCTCAACATTTTCTTTAGTTAATTCATCATAAAAATATTGCGACCTAAAACATAGAATATTTGAAAGTGCATGTAATTCTTTAACGTTCTCATTTTCACCGGCATAAATAATGACATCATAACTTTTGTCATTTTCAAATAACCTTTCATAATCATTAGCAACTTCTTGGAAACATTCTGAAGTCATTTTTTTGCAGAAATCAAATTGGAAATTGGAAGAACAAAAAAAAAAAAAAAAAAAAAAAATTCATTCATTGGCTAAATTTAGAACTGTAGAACATTGCATAACATAATTATAATAATGTAGTGTTACATCGAATTCTTCATTAGGCAAATAGAAATCGATCACACCACGAAATCTGGATAACGGGCTTTCTTAACATATGGACAGGTATTAGCGACACGACAAAGTTTGAGAAGAACAACGTACGTTACGTTACAAATCGAGATTAATTTAATCCAATACAGCAATGTAAAGTCTTGTTATTGCAATATAGCGTAATAAAATCGAGCCCAAAACCTGAATTTAACATTGGAAAATACATGACGAAATTTATAATAATTGACTCAACTAATATATATCGATTGAATCATTATATCAAAAATTTTAATAAAATAATATATATTAATTATTTGTTTACAAAATTGAAATATTTTTAATCTTCGTCAATATTTTTTGTATACAATGTAATCAGGTGATCAGGTGCGTTTATCAAATACTTAAGAATTTTTTGACTAAAATTAAAATCTTTACATCAAAATCTTTACATCAAAAACTAAAATGCAATCAAATCTCAAATTTTTGACGTCATTATAAACAGATATTGTTAGCGTGTTTGATTGGTTTATATTTGATAGTTCCTCCATAATTCATGTTCCTTCAGAACTATTAGAATGCTTATTATATTATCTAACTTTTTAAAAATATTAATTGGCAGACCCTATTACGATTATTAAGCTCAATAGACAGTTGCAATGAGCACATTCTTTTCGTAAGTACCTTTAATGAATATAACATTTTATAACATTTATATTTTAAAAAAATCTTTTTATTTTATTTTTTTGCGGTACTCGTTTCAGAAGTTATTTCATAAATCTTTTAAACATATAGATTAGAATTCTTTCCGAGTGTTCCGTACGCGAACTCCCTGCTTGGAAATATAACTGTTATCGGTCGGTTTATCCTTTAGGCTTGTTTCTTTTAATAAGTTATTATGGGTTTTTATTTATTTTTCGAATCTTTCTGATAAAAATTATTTTTCTTGCTTACATAATATTTGTAATATTTGTATTATCCCTAACTCAATTCTTTACGGATGGTTTTTTTTTAATTTTTGATATTATATTATCCTATCTTGGATATTTTATTTCAAATTATATTATCACTAAATCAGATGGTTTCCTTAAGTTTGAAAGCGAAATATTTAAATTCCTTCCGTTTTGAATCAAATAATTTGATATTGTTCTGACTATTTCCAGTCTTAAGGCGAATGCTTTGGGTTACTGCAAATTGATATTAATTTTTGGTATTGACATCCTCGTCTGTTTTAATCTAATAGCGAACAAGTACAATATCTCTTTAGTTATGAGCAGTAGAATGCTACAGATAAAAAAGTTTCTATTTAAAAAGAAATTTCCTGATCCGCATGTCCTAACAATGTGACGTATAAATAATAAAGGTGGGTTCAAAATAATATTCATTAAATGCACCATCAAATCTAATAACTTTTTTTCCTTGATCAATTTTTCGAACTAGACATTATGTATCCTCCTTGATATTCAGAAGAAGCTTGTAGTTTTTGACTGTGCTAGAATCGCTAGTCTCAAATCGATTCTCTCATTGTGTGATAATTTTTGTCTGCTGGTGGTGAAATAAATGCCTTTGATTTCTTCCGCTTTTTATTAATGTCAAGAGTGTCATACTAACTTCATCTGCTCTAAATTTTCATTCGTATAAAATCTTGGCAGTTCTAACTTTTAAAACACTAGCGCATTCAGGAAGCCATCATACAAGATTCGAAAGTGGGATTACCGTCTAGAATTTCTATATTAGACACTAATGAACAACCTGAGCTAAAGACTACCAATTTACTATAATGGTGAAGAATATCAAAAGAAATGTTTGCAAGGTAACTGGACTGTTAGATTGAAAGGTCAATTCCATTCCCTGTGCTAGAAAGGTTCAAGTTGTGTTATTAAAGCTCTTATGTCCAATATGTTGTTTCTGATAAAAGCTTACAATAAAGGGGAAAGGTGGGATTGTGCTTTCAAATTTTGACAATGTTGTAATTCTGATCTTTTTCTATTGTTGATATATTACGGATTATATATATTTTTGTCTAATTTCTGCGCGCAGAAAACTTTGAAGTTGAAATGGAAATTCATAATGATCACTGTTCGTGAGTTCATTTACACATTCTCACGACAGTGGTTGCGATTATACTAACATTTTTTGAAAAAAAACGCGATAAAGAATTTCCTGGATTGGTCTGGTTATTTTATTCTATTGAAGATGGTAGCAAGTTGACAGGACAAACCTTTGTTTAGCTGTATAGTGCCATCAAGATGCGAAAATTTTTCGATCTTTTCCCCTTCGATATCTAATTCATTTGTAATCTTCTCCTTTCGAGAAAAAGCGCAAACTTGATCAGATTGATTTTGTTGAAGAAAGTTAACTATACTAGAGTATTCTCATTTGTAAAATAAACATACATTGGCAATGCTGGTTTGAACATATCAATTATCACTTCGGTCTAATGACAAGAAATTGAATTTGATTCAATAAAAGCAAAAGCTCGTCGTAATGTAAATGGGAATCATCTATAAAAAAAAAAAATCCCGATGACATTTGTATTCCAATTTTTCAAAATATTGGTATTCCAATCTCAATTACCGCATGTGAGGAAATACATAAATAGATTTTTTTTATCATAATCTTTAATTAATTTTAAATTTTTTAATCACTTGTGGTTATAATTTATGCATGAACTAATCGTAAGATCCAACACAATAAACAATTGAATCATTTTACGTTTAAACGGAATGTATTGGGAAATTTATTTTAAAGAATACAAATATATTTTTGAACATTTTAATTATAAAACTTTATTTATATTATAGGCCATTACATTAAACCAATTTTTTAAAAATCATACAACTTAATTATTAATTTTCAATGCATTTTTTATTATTACATGATTATAATTTAACAAAATACGAGGACAACCATAAAATTCATATTACATGACTAAAGAGCGGAAAGAAATGCAGTAAATCAAAATAACTGACATGATCCACAGAATTACGATGGTATGTAACTCAAAGAGGTACTCTGAAAGTGTGTAACAGCATCCATTCATGTACAAAGTTTTATTGATATGTAAGGGAAGGTTCATAGCAATTCTATCACCAGGCCAGAATAAGCAAATCCTTACCAAAGGCCATGAGTGATAGGAAGCATCATCTCTTGAAACCCAACACTGTTGACTACTATTACGTCTGGAACCACACGTACCACACGTCAAACTCGAACTGCCCGCGACTCAAACTACTTGGCCTGTAGTGTTAAAAGAAGCATATATTTTTAATGAATTAATTTTCCTTTATAGATTTTCTAAGTTCAAATGATGTAAAATACTTTCAGCTCACCTCAAATAAATGTTACTAAAATGGACTATTGATATCTTTACATCGTTAATTTGTAATTTTATTTAAAAATAAAATTCGCGCGTACTGAATTATCCGGCTTATCAATTATTTAAATAAATCTAACTTTTCCCGCCATGATAAAGTATATATTTACAATTATGATAAGTAATGAAATGGTTAAAGGGGATAGTTTGATCGTATATTGTATTTTGATTTCATCATTTTTATAAACATCATTAGAATCAAAAGAATTGTTAACAACTGCGATTATTTAATATTTAAATAAATAAATATTAAAAAAAAAGCAAGTTTAGCATAAAAAAAAAAATTAAAACCAAGGAAAATATCGTTGAAGCTTTTATTGCTGCAGACTACTTTCAACTGCCAGACCTTCAGGATTTTATCATGAAAGCTGTTAAAAATACCTTAGAAAAGAATCGCAATGATAATTATTCACCGGATTTGTTATCTAAAATTCTTGATACAATGTCATTGACAGAAGATAATATGCTTACAAATCTATTAGTTGAAGCAGTATCAATTATTCCATTAAATACCATTGAATTTGACCGGTTATCTAGTACAGCACTTCGGGTCCTTTTATCTTGCACTCATGAAAAGGACAAACCCTTTGTAACCTCAGAATATGAAGTATTTCGATATAGCGTTATTTTAGTTGCAAAAGAGATTTCTAACGACGCAACCAAACTCTTTTAAACCGTTTACCAACCATAGATCTCATAGATAATTTTATGCAAACTGATAATGTGCTTATCCCGGATCATCAAAAAGTTGCTAAAGAATTAGTGCCTTTGATTAAATTTATGGACTTCAGGAGAATTAAAAGCCAAATATTAGCTAATATCATTGAGCCCTTAAACATTGTTCCAGTTGAAACGATTTTAAATGTTTATCGACATCGGGCAATGTCATATAATACAGATTTGAATGAAATTCGTGGACATTTACCAATATTTAACAGAACTGACTTTGTTTGGGATGAGTCAGCGTGTGGATCAAATCTTATTATTGAAGATAACGGGAAAGTCGTACAAACATCAGTTGTTTGCACTGGTCAGCAAAGTGTTAGAGCTAAGGTGGCATTCGAAAATCAAGGTACTTTTGAATGGGACGTCATTATTGAGAAACATAATACATAGTGTGCAACAGATAATTTTGATTATGAAAAGTTTGCAGGTGGTCAACTTACTGGATGGGTATTGGGTTCCAATGGTTCAATTTATCATTCTGGCGTACAGGTACATGGTTATTGTCCTCCATTTAAAACAGATAATAGCAAAGTTACTGTTCATTTAGATATGTATAAAAGGACTTGTTCATTTACGGTCAATGGTGTAAAATATGCAACGGTACCAGAATGGAATTATCTGCCATCAAAACTTTACCCTGTAGTTTCATTACGTCATATCGAATTCAGCTTCATCGTTAGTTATTTAATGTTGAATTATGTATAAAATTTTATAAACGAAATTTATTTTATTTGCAAAATAATTGACGAATGATGAAGTAAAAAGCATTTAATGAATTAATAAACAAAAAATGAAAAACTGTTAATTAAAGCAATCAAACGTGGCGAATTTGATCAATTGTTAAATTTACTTTCTTATGCTTACAAATTATATTACCTTAATCATAGGATGGTTGTACACTCTCACGCGAACGCTTTATAAATTTTATTATGAATTATGTTTACTAACTTATCTCTTATCTTTATCTATTATCAATTAGTTGACGACCAAGGAAATGTTTTGGTTTTAATTGAAGTGTCTGCGGAGTCCATAAGATATTTTTAATATAATGGATTGTAACTTAATTTTTAAAGTATAAATATCATATGGGACCTTTGCAATAAATAGTAAGAAGGATACTTTTATATGCCAATATGATATTTCATTCGTAAAATATATTGATCTTGAAAATTTTAACTTTTTCTTTAATGTAGAAGCAATTTTCCTTTCGACTAATTGCAATTTGACATTTTTCTTTCTGAACAATAATAATATAAAGAATCCATGTGCTTTTCCTAGTAACTGAGAAAAAAAGAGCAATGATGAAGGCAAGATTGACAGATATAAGAATTCGAGAAATAGGGATGGCATTGCCATTCGGGAAATCGTACTGTAACCGTTTATTTATTCGATCATTTTTTGTAGTTTCAAACTAAGAATCACTAAAACGAAATTAAAATTTAGGATTATTATGAAAAATGAAGTAAGCGTTCTTCATGATTATGGTGATTTATGAATAAGTTATATTCTATCCAAACAATGGTGGGAGGTTTGCTAGGAAAATGGGACTCTGGGAATTTATTAACAAAATTTTGTTTTTTTATTGCATTTTAGTTTTTGATGTTATTAGATTAAAATGTAATAAGGTCTTAATTTTAATCAAAAAAATTCCAGAGCCCGATTTTCCTAGAAAACTTCCCACATATGAAAAAACAAATGCATTTCTATAAATTTTCAAAAATTACACATTTGTTAAAAAATTCCATATGTAATATAAACAACCTCCAAATAATATAAAGCAAGAGATCGAACTATAACTGTTATCTTCAGAAGCTCGTGCTGCATATTGAATCATGAGGGAGTAATCTAATAGATTCAATTTTATCTTATTTAAATGTTATACGAATATTTTATATTTTTATTAAGGGAATTCTTTAAAAAAAAAACATTGAGTATTTTACCTTTGTGGTGCACCAACACGTGATTTTATTCTAATAATACTATCAAATCTATCGATAAGACCAACCAAAATTCGATTACTTTTGCATAAAATAATTTACAAGTGAGATTTATATATTAAAATCTTCTTCAATTGTCTACTTGCTTACCAGGAATAAGTATGAACGATATATTTGTCTAGGGAATGAAAATTAAATTATTCAAAAATTCCTTTAAATATTTGTTGGATGAAAATTACCTTTTCACAGATATATTCTTTCAATCTTCATTGCTCATTCCTTCTTACAAACAATACCATTTTCAAATTTATCATATAATCCAAATTCTTTTATGACCCATGCTGTATTAAATGGAGTTTATTAATATTTCACGTAAAACATTACAAGAGCTAATCATCATTCTACTGTACCATCAGGTTTTTCATAAAAACTGAGAAATATTTTTAGTTGTACAAATGGATTAGAAATTACTTTTAATTTTGCATTGGGTTAGTATCTAACACATTCTGAGTGCATACAATAAAATTATAATTATTGAATTAAAGCATCACGTGGTATTTCAATAAATATTATCAAATTAACTTAATGTAAGTTTTATTATGGGACGTTCGTCGAGAAAGTCTTAATTGGGAAACTTTTCTTAAGAATTACCTTTAAAAAAAAATTCCAAGTTTAACCACAACCCCGGATGAGAATGAAAATCTGCAGTACTATTTTGAATAGAAAATTTTTTTAAATTTATGAAAATTAAAAAATAAAAACTCCATATTCTAAAAGGATAAATTTATTAAATAAAATTAATTGTTGATTTTTTTAATAAATTATTTAATATCACGATTAGAATTAAAACTGATAATTTCAAATAATGCGTCCTTTATAAGAAAATCTTGCAACAAATTATTTTTGAAGTTTAACATTGTAATTTCCTTCTACCACCGTAGGAAATTGTTTCGCAAATCCGTTATTTTATTTTTTTTTTTTTTTTTTTTTTTTTTTTTTAAAAAAAAAAATATTAAGAACAATATTGTCTTGCAAAACAAAACTAGTCAATATGAATGAAAATTTAAAAAGAAAAATCCCGACACCAATCTTTTGGATGAACGATTCGCTCTTGAATAATAACTGAAAAAAAAATCATTTGATTGCTGTGGTCCAAAAAAATCCAACTCTAAAAAGTTATAAAAAAAAAGAT